CCGATATGTGAAGCGGCAGGTACCCAATATGTGAAGCGGCGGGTACCTGATATGTAGAACGGCGGGTACCTGATATTTGAAACGGCAGGTATTCGATCCCTTAATAATTTAAAATTTGGTCCAAAATAAATTAATAAACCATTATAATATAAAGCGCATACGCGTTAAATTATGTAGCGTATACACGTTGCTTTTTATGGCGGTGTAAACAGTCAAATATCAAGCATGAAAATATGATAAAATTCAACCACCAAATGTAATTGCCAAATATCAAGAACGAACAAATTAATTGTGAATTGGCGTAGACGGATAAATAATTAGCCGAAAAGGATAAACATTTAGGAAGAGATATGATCTACATGATGTAATATTTATCAAATGATTGACAAAGAACCAATAGGATAAATAGAGTCGATCAATTGTGGCTTTTCTATCTTTAACAATTAGAACTATTAGAAAGAATAATTATAAGCCACAAAAGATAGATTATAAGCAAAACACATAAAGCGAATTTAAAGAACATATAAAATAATGTCAGAAAGATTAAAGAACATAAAATAATATAAAAGATAATATAAAAAGATTGTATAAAGATGGAACATAAAAGATGACATATTAAAAAGAACATATATAAAAAGATAGCGTATTTAAAATATAGATAATACAAAGATATTATAAAAGATAATATATATATAAAAGATAGCATATTAAAAGATAGCGTATTTAAAATATAGATAGTATATTAGAAAGATAGTTCAAAGATAATATGTAAAAAGAACATAAAAGATAGTATATAGATAGAATAGAAAGTAGCGTAAAATTTGTATAAATAGAGAACGGAATTCAAAGTAATTCCACAGTTCTCATCCACAGAACTCAATAAAAATATAAGTTTCATTTAATTATTTGTTAATGAAGTTTAATATTAATTAGAGGTAATAGGTTCGCCCTAAACTTTAATTAATGTTCGCTTAATTAATTTTGATTGAATAAAATGGAAATTTAAGATGAATTAAATATATACTTTTGGAAGGTAATAATTCGTAGCGAGAGCTATCGAAGTTTGAAATTAAAGGTAAAAGTGGATATAATTTGGGGAAAATTTAGAGAAGTTAATTTTTATTTTATATCGTTTAATGTTTTATATTACTAACGCTATTTATGTCATGAACCAAGAATGTTGTTGTTATATGTTGTTGTATGTTGTTCGTTGATTATGTTGTTTGATTATGTCGTTAATTATTTGCTTGTTCGTTTAATTGCTCGTTCGTTTGTTTATTTGTTCGTTCGACCATGAGAATGCCCGTTCGATGTGGCAACTCTGTAAATTGATGACAGAGGGAATTGGGGGATCTCAGCAGGTTACCCCTGAAATTGACAGGTTAACCCAACAGAACAGGGGTAACCCGCCGTGAAATATAACGTGTATACGCTATGTTTTGTAGCGTGTACACGCTATGTTTTGCTACGCACTTTTGACCACTACCGCTTGCCATAATGGACATACGCTAGATTAGACAAGTTTTAAACTAGCATGGTCTTTTTTGGTGTAGGTTTCAATATAAATTTGTAGAAAATAGATACTTTATTGACACACTGTATGTATATATGGTGAATATGGGTCTGATTAAGATGTTAATTGACTCCAGCACTAATAAAGTATTAGAAAAAAAAAAAAAAAAAATTAACCAGTTAATGTACCTTCGAAAATTAATTAACTAGTTAATAACTGTATGTACATATATACTGTATATTCTTTTATAATAATTTTACAATAATTAAAAAGTATTTTTACTAAATAAAACAATGCTACTTGATATTATATTATAAATTAAAATTATTCAAAATTACAAAAAACAGTTATTTATAAAAACTACATATATTAAAATTAATGTTAAATAACTCTTGAATGTAAAAATATTCAAAATAATAGGTCATCAGAATTTTAATATTCAGCTGGAATAATCTTGAAATTGTAACACTTAAAAGAAGTGATTTTATAACTGTTCCTGAAGCAATTAGAGAATATGAATGACTTGAAAGAATAGCCAATAACCTCTTGCCAATCTAACGTCTATTGCACCTATTGAATAATAATATACATATTATTAAATTTGCTCAAATAGTTTATAAATTAATGAATAAAATGTTAATTTGATTTTTTTCACAGCATAAAACAATCATGTTAATAGAGGCAATATGAGGATAAAAGTAGTAGTGATGGTAATGGTGGTGGTGATGAACTATTTACACCTCCCTAGTTAATTGTAAACGAAATGTCGAAACATATAGAATTCTAACTAAAATGATATAATAATAAATACCCTAACAATATAATCAATTGTAATTAGGAGCTTTGAAATTACAAATCATGTGATAAGATGCAGTGTAAGACGAATAAGAAACACCAAAAAAATAAATAGTAATTGCCTAAAACGAAATGATCAACCAGTTACTGCGATTTCGTAACATATGCAATGCTTGTACTTGTGATCAACGGCTTTTGCATATAATGCATTTTGTATAAATATTACCATATATACCCATATTAAAGAATATTTACATTATCTTGAGATAATTATATAGTAATGGCTCACAGTAATGATAAGGGTAATAATTATATGTAATATATATAGCGTATAATTAGAATAAAATTTTTAAACAAATTTGCAATGTAATAAAATTAGTTTCCGAAGAATTTGAAGGAAGTACTAGTACCAAGGAATCTGAAGGTATATTGAACAGGCTGAAATATTAAATTTTTGTTTGCATACTATCTATAATTGTACCTTACATAATAATTTAAGCAAACTAACTATTATACAAAAAATTATATTAAATAATTTAGCTCGTAAGTTAATAGGTTATATTACAATTGAATAATAATGGAATTACTTATCATTTTTGTTATATTTCATGTAATTAAATAACTTATTTAATAATTAATAATACTATAGTCAGTAAGTTATTAGTTATTTAAATATTTGGTTTTTTACTTTATTTTATTTTACATAATATTCAAAATAACTAAATTCTTTGTTTAATAACTATTTGATTAATTAATTGTATTACAGTTGGTAAGTTACAATATCATATTTATTTGTTTAATATTTTATATAATCCAACTAATTATATTCTTAATTTAAATGACCAGATTGTAAGTAATATATTTAATTTGCAGTAAATATTTTGTATTACATTTATATCCAACTAAATAGTTAATTAATAATACTAGGGTGTAAGTTATATATACCTATATTTCTGTTATTTATATAATTTAAATTAATTAAATTAAAATTATTTTGGAATTTCTTTTAGTTGGTAAGTTATATGTTATTTATTTAATTCTATTGTTACTTAATTTAAACTAATTAAATTTCTTTATTTAAATAGATAGTAAGTTATAAGCTATTTATTTAATTCTATTATTACTTGTTTATATAATATTTACATATAATTTAAATAACTAAATTCTTTATTTAAATAGATTGTAAGTTATAAGTTATTTATTTAATTCTATTATTACTTATTTATATAATATTTATTTATAATTTAAACTAATTAAATTATTTATTTATAATATTATTTAATAATATAGGGTGTAAGTTATTTATTTAATTCTATTATTACTTATTTATATAATATTTACATATAATTTAACTAACTAAATTCTTTATTTAAAAAAATATTTTGTAATTTCTTTTAGTTGGTATGTTATAACTTATAAGTTATCTATTTAATTCTATAATATTTATTTACATTAGTTGTTTACATATATGATTTATATATAATTTAAAATTAACTTCTTATTTAAAAAATTATTTTGTAATTTCTTTTAGTTGGTAAGTTATAAGTTTTTTATTAATCCTATTATTACTTGTTTATGTGATAATTAAATATAATTTAAACCAATTAAATTCTTTATTTAAATTATTTAAATAGATGGTAAGTTATAAGTTATTTAATTCTATTATTACTTATTTATATAATATTTACATATAATTTAAACTAACTAAATTCTTTATTTAAATAGATGGTAAGTTATAAATTATTTATTTAATTCTATTATTACTTATTTACATATAATTTTAACTGACTAAATTCTTTATTTAAATAGATTGTAAGTTATAAGGATTGATTTAATTCTATTATTACTTATTTATATAATAATATTTACATATAATTTAAATTAACTAATAAATTCTTTATTTAAATAGATGGTAAGTTATAAGTTATTTATTTAATTCTATTATTACTTATTTATATAATATTTATTATTTACATACAATATAAACTAACTAAATTCTTTATTTAAAAATTTATTTTATAGGTGGTATGTTATTTATTTAATTCTTTTATTACTTATTTATATAATATTTATAATATGAGTAAATTTATTCATCGCACGTGCGATGCATCGCCACTTTCCTTTTTTGTAAATTATTTATGTTGATCAACCTGCTTATACATCGCCACCCCCCTTAAAATGGCAATGATAAACATAAAAATTTGCATCGCACGTGCGATAAATAAATTATTTCTTATAATATTTACGTGTAATTTAAACTAATAAAATTCTTTATTTAAATAGATTGTAAGTTATAAGTTATTTATTTAATTCTATTATTACTTATTTATATAATACTT